CACTCGGTCTTGGACGGGTTGAGTCTGAGTCTGTTCCTCCCCATCCAGACCCTCACGGCCTCCAGGCATCGGGCCATCACGTCAAGGGCATCGTTGGGGTGGCCCGGGGTGGATATGTACAGCTGAGTGTCATCAGCGTACTGATGGAAATCCACCCCGAAGCCACGGATGATCTCCCCCAGCGGCTTCACATAAATATGCTCTGGACGGGTTAGCCGCAGATTGAATGGTGAACCTGCATGATTCCAATGCCCCAGAGCTCAATGACTTCAACTGCTTCATGTCCTCTCTGAGAAGGAGATTCGAGGATCCCCTGGCTGATCACAAGGCCTGCGAGAGAATCAAAACGGTGAGGCAGGGCAGATGCTCGGTAGCTGAATATACACAAGAATTCTGGGCCATTGCCAACAAGCTGAACTGGCTGGAAGACATCCTCCTTAGCCATTTCAAAGATGGCCTAAACTACGACCTGTATGATGCTTGCCTGCCTCGAGGGGACCCACGCCAACTTGATGAATGGTACATCCGGGTGGAGGAAGCAGAGATCGACCTACTGAAGAGGCACCGCCGAGGAAAACCATGGGGCCGCCCACCTCCTGAGCCAACGCATGAGCCAGCGAAACCACAGGCTACGGCCAAGAAGCCAATGGGCTGTTTCAAATGCAGGCGAGAGGGGCATTGCGCTGTAGAATGCCACTCAAAAGCGCCTCAGCGCAACCCAGACCAATCACTGGCCAGGAAATCAGGGAAGTCCCCAGCCAAGCTGAAAGAACCCACCATGAGGCCGATAGAGGCTGTGGAGTCCCCAACCCCTGCCAAGCATGGGGAGGGAACTCCGGTCTACACCGCAGGGGCAGTGGACAGCTTGGAGGGTGAACCCCTGGTAAATGGATCCATCGCACCCATCCTCAAGACAGTGACTATATTAGCTCCCTTCATGCCCGAAGCTGTCAAAGTGAAAGCCTTAATAGACTCTGGCTGCACCCACGGCCTCATTAGCCCGATGCTAGTGGGGAACTTGGGCATTTTGGTGAGGAGACTGAAACAACCAATCTTATTTGGCCAGTTAGATGGGTCCATAGCAGGGGAGGTGCCAGCTACCCTAGCTACTTTATCAATCCACCTATCCCTGGGGAGCCATGAGGAAGACATAACGTTTGTAGTGACCCCAGGCATGGAATGCCCAGTGATCCTAGGGCTGGAATAGTTAAAGAAATGGAACCCCTGGGTAAATTGGAGGACAGCAGAACTCAATTTCCCGAAGGGGGATCGTGTGAAGTTAAAACCCCAAGGAGCCCTACCAAACCCAGGAATGGAGAAAGCATCAGTGGGAGAGAAAAAGGGGCTACCCGAAATACCAGAGGAATACCGAGACCTTGCTGAAGTTTTCAGTGAGGAGCGGGCAGATGAGCTTCTGCCTCACCGACCCACGGATTGTGCCATAGAATTCAAGCCCGGGGCAAAACTCCTGAAGCCCAGACTATACTCTATGAGCCCTAAGAAGAAGGAGGAAATGGAAAGATTCATAAATAAAAACCTAGAAAGGGGGTTTATCAAAACTGCCAAGCCTAAGGTCCTCTTTAGAGAGAAGGACTGCACTTTGCGCTTGTGCATGGATTACCGCACCCTGAATGCAATCAGTGAAAGTAACCTATACCCCCTATCCCTCATGAAGGACATGTTGTCACACCTCTCGAAAGGGAATTTTTTTACTAAACTAGTTCTAAGGGAAGCGTACTATCACGTGAGAATTAAGGAAGGGGATGAATGGAAAACCGCATTTAATTGCCCAATGGGGTGCTACCAATTCAAAGTTTTGCAATTTGGACTACAAGGGCCCCCACAGTATTTATGCAATGAATCAATGACATACTAAGGGAGCACCTATTTAAGAGGGTCCTGGTTTACTTAGACAACATTCTTATCTTCACCGAATCAAAAGAGGAACATGTCAACCTATTCAGAACGGTTTTAAAGAAACTGCGAGCTGCCCACCTATATGCCAAATTATCAAAATGCGAATTCCACCAGGAAAGAATAGACCACCTGGGTTATCGCATATCCCCACAGGGCATTGAAATGGACCCCAAGAAGGTCAGAGCAGTACTAGAATGGGCACCACCTTGCACAAGGAAGCAGTTGCAAAGTTTCCTGCGTTTTGCAAACTTTTACCGCCAATTCATCCCCTCGTTCCCCCAAATAGCCCTGCCCCTCACAAACTTACTAAAACCGAAGGGAGAATCCTCAGTGAAACCTAGCCAGCCACTAAAATGGACAATGGAATGCCAAGCGGCATTCAAGAGTTTAAAGAGACTTTTTTCTGCCAAACCCGTACTGAGGCACCCAGACACGGATAAACCTTTCGTAATTCAGGTGGACGCAAGCGATGTGGCAGTGGGGGCTGTACAAGAAAACAACAAAGGGGTATTGCAACCCTCCGCGTATACATCCAAGAAACTCACCGAAATGGAACAGCACTGGGCCGTGTGGGAAAGAGAGGCATATGGGGTGCGTTGGTTGTTACTTGGCACCATTTCCTTGAAGGGAATAAAATCCCTTTTCAGGTCTGGACAGACCACAAAAATCTGGAAGCATTAAAAACACCTAGGAAGCTCACTCCCAAGCAAGCCCGCTGGTCCCAGCATTTTCACCAATTCCGTTTTACACTCAAGCACTTGCCGGGGGGGGGGGAGGAAAAATTTCCTGGCAGAAGCACTGTCTCGCATGCCCCAATATAAGAGCACACGAGCCACCGATTATAAACCACTCATGCCTGAACCACAATTGGCAGCACCAGTAACCACCAGAGCCCAAGCTAAATTAAAGCCGCAGCTGGGTAGCCAAACCAGAATCGAATTCCGGAAAACTTTGGAAACAGATCAATGGTTCCAGAAAAATATACACATGTGCACAATCAAGGACGGACTGCTATGGGTGGGGGAAAAGTTATATATACCAACCACCCAGAGGGTAACTTATATATACTAACCACCCAGAGGATCACTTTCATGCAGCTATGCCATGATACAAAATCACCAGGGCATTTTGGATTTGTAAAAACATTACATTTAATTAAAAGGCAATTTTGGTGGCCGTCCATGAGAAAGTACATAGAAAGCTATGTGGCCAGCTGCCCAACGTGTGCAACTGCTAAGAGGTTGCAAGGGAAATCGCCCAGACTGTTACAACCAGTGGCGAATCCCTCAGCCCCCTGGAAAGAAATATCCATGGATTTTATAGTGGAATTACCAGAAAGCAATGGAAACACTGTCATCTGGGTGGTTACGGACTTGTTTTCTAAACAAGTGTACTTTATCCCTTGTCAAAAGATTCCCACCACAAAAACCTTAGCAAAACTATTCGTGCAGCACATCTACAGACTGCATGAGGCACCCCAACGCATCATATCTGATAGGGGAGTGCAATTTATGTCAGAATTTTGGAAGGAATTTTTATCCCTCTTAGGAACCACTCAGGGACTGTCATCTAGTCATCATCCTCAATGTAATGGACAAACTGAACATTGTAACTCAGTACTTGAGCAATACTTAAGATGCTTTATTAATTTCCAGCAAATGAAGTGGACAGACCTACTCCCTTTTGCAGAAGTTGCTTACAATAATGCAGTCCACTCCAGCACAGGCTACACTCCCTTTCAAATAGCCACCGGTCAAAGTTTCAACCCTATGCCAGAATTAATCCCAAACGAACCAGCAATCCCATTGCTGAAAGAATGGATAGCACAATTACAAAACACCTGGCCAGTAGTTAAGAAAGCCTTAGACGAAGCTAGGCAAGCATACAAAGCACAAGCAGATAAAAAGAGAGTTGAACCCATACCATTCATTGTAGGAGAAATGGCATATTTGTCTACAAAATACCTAAAATCCCTACAGCCCTGTAAAAAAACTTGGCCCAAAATATATAGGACCTTTTCCAATTAAAAGAATCATAAACCCAGTAACAGTAGAATTAGAACTACCCAAAACTCTCAGGCAAATACACCCAATTTTTCACTGCAGATTGCTAAAAAGAGAACAACAGTCACCCTTACGGTCAAAAATTCCCTCCCATACACACACACCACCTCCAATCATGGTTGAAGGAGAACAACACTTCGAGATAAAAGAAATCCTAGATTCTAGGAAATATTGCGGGGTAACTCAATACCTAGTAGCATGGAAACACCTTCTCTCCTCACAAAACGAATGGGCCCATAAACATCACGTCAGAGCACCGAAACTCCTAAAGAAGTTTCATACAAAATATCCCAATAAACCAGACTAATTTCTATACCTGTTTTGTTTCTCTACAGGTGGATCTCTCTTATTTTTAAGGGGGGCAGGACGTCAGAACTCATGTATATTTCATTTCTATCTATCTCCTCTGATCTAAAACCAAATCTCACTTTCCCCTGGATTCTGCCATACTACCAAGGGGGAGGGGGGATATGCCTGTGGGCTTATGGCTTTCACTTCCTCTATTTGCTACAATGTAACCTTTTGTTTATTGCCTCTGGGTCTGCTACTCATTACAAAGTAACAAATTGCCTCCTGCACTATGCATCTCTCTGAACTTTCTTCTCCCTAACCTGGCAGCTAGGAAAAGTGGTGGGAGAGAATTACAAACATCCAGAACCTGGCTTATTTCTCTGGTCTCAAAAGGAGGTGTGAAGAGCTGTGGAACATCTTGCTACAAATGGAGTCGGACCAATGTTATCTTCCCTTTCCCATGATGGACTTAACACCTGGAGATTGGCCGGTCTGAACCGTCCGGATGAACTGTGGGGTGGGGTTTGCTTAAGGACACTTTAAAGTATCGGTCTGTAAAGAATCCCTCAGATCCTGTCTATTATGCCTGCTATTAACTACTCTTAATAAAAGTTCCTGTTGGAAAAAATTGTTTCCAAGAGTTCTGCTTTCTTAAGATGTGAGATTGAAGTGGGTCCTTACAAGCAGTACTGTAGAAGAACATAGAACTGATGAGAGCTTGCAATAAATATTTGCTTCCTAAAAATTTGGAAAGGGAATATTTTGGATAGGGGAACATATTGATAGAACACTATGGGCATAGGAATGTTATTTATTGGCCAAGTGTGATTGGACATTTGTCTCCTTGGGATATTGCTATCTTCTGTATCCCACTTATTTTGGCTTAGCAAAGCTCAAAGAAATGAAGAATGTTTTTCCCATTTATCATATTATTTTGCCAATTTTTGATAGTTCCTCTCACAAAGAGAGAACCATATCATACATGATTATTTCCAACACAGTAGTATGTGAATAATGTATGTAAGGATTGATGTTTTTTTTAACACAGAGCTCTATTCTGAGCTCTAGTCAGGTCAATTACCATGGATAACATAGCCATCTGGAACTTCATGGGAAAGCAGCTCATCATTAAACAAGATTACAGGTAGTCCTCAAGTTGCAACAAGTCACTTAGTACAGTGGTTCAAAGTTATGACAGACCTCCCCAAAAGTACTTATGACCCAGTCCCGAAGTTATGTATGTTGCAGCACCTCTGCAGTCATTCAACCAGAGAAATGTTGCAACATGCTTATTTCCCCACTATCCTCCCCAAATACATGCAGCATTTGCTGGCAGAGACAGTGTGTAGGAAGGGAAGAGTTTTGTTGGCTATGGGCATTCACTGGGAGAAGGAGATGAGCCTCTAAGAAGGGAAGAGTTTAGTCACTGTCTGCATGCCTTCCCTCCCTCTACCATTAGCCAGGGACCAAAAGCAAACAGCAAGGAAGGGAAGGAAGATTTCTCCGCTTCACTATTTGCCTTTGCTGGGGGAGGGAAGGTTAGCATCTAGCAGTGAAAGAAAAACAGTTCACCAGGGTCTCAGAAAAAGATGGCTACTTTTTTGCCATCTGTCCCAGCAATGGAGCGGCCTGTCCTCTTTCCTATCTGACATCCTGAGCTCTGGAGATCTTTGAAAGGCAAGTGATTAGTGACAGTTGGGTGGGTTCAGGGGGTGGATGTGGAGGAGGCCAAGCAGCTGTGGGGACCCCAAGGGTGGGAAGCAGAGTATGGATTATCTCAGTGTATGTTGGGGGGAAGGCCTTGGGAAGCCAGAGACAGATGATCTTGTTCCTGCACTGGGGCCCCCATGGTCTTCTCCACCCCTGAAGCATGCCATGTGCACTTAACGGCCTACCCATTTGTTTAATGAATGCATTGGGAAGAGCCAAGAATGGGGCTCATTCAATGTGATTTACTTAATGTTCTCCTGACATCCAATCATAATGGACAGGCTCTATTATGTTTGTAACTCAAGGACTACCTGTATATTAATAGTGCTGATTGCTGAATCAATTTTACTGTGATTGTTAAGTATTTGAAAGTATACCTTTTAGATACCTAACATGTGGGAATTTCCATTTTATACATTTGGAAGAGTTAGGTTCTCATATGAAAAAACTACAAACTGGGTACAAAGATAATGTCTTAATTTATTTTAGTTTTTGTCTAATAAAGAGTAATGTAATACAATTCCCATTCAAACATTCAACCCCATTCTCCTTCATTTGAATCTATGAATATTATGCACTTTATTACTTCAGAAGAAACCACAGCATATATTACAGTATTCTAGGATGAGGCATTTACCTTTCTTCAACTTTGTTCTCATGTAGGAGATACCCTGCGGTCAACCTTCATCTTGCAAGAATCTTTTAGGTGTGAAGCGAGTAACTTTTATGTTCCTGACTGAATGGCATCATTGGCAGTGAGATTATGTGGCACTTAATTAAGCCTCCAACTGTTTTATAAGAATGGAATTATTTAGTATCAAAAACTCTCACTAATTTCACAACCAATTATTTAAGGATAGTTTTTCAAGAAATTTAGTTTTACTTTGAACTCATTATTTTTTCTCCAAAAATAGAAGATAAAGCAGAATTAGATATATTGAAAATAAAGGTGTGTGCCCTAAAATGATAGTTCCATGTTGCTTATCATTCCTTTCTGATGGAGTTTAATGAAACTCACAATGTGATGTCCCAGTAGAGTATTCCGTCATTCCTATCTGTAACTATAGTCATTTAACAAAGTAGAACTGGAATTCATCAGATTTGCAGATGACACTAAACTGGCAGAAATAGACAAGACCTGAGAAGACAAGCTCAGGATCCAAAAAGATTTTGACAAACTTGAACAATGGGCCCTATCCAACAAAATGAATTTTAATGTGGAGAAAAACAAAGTTTTACATTTAGGCAGGAAAAATCAAAGGTACAAGTACAGATTAGCTCAAAAACAGTAACTGTGAGAGGGACCTTGGAGTCCTAGTGGACAATCACTTGAATATGAGCCAGCAGTGTGCAGCAGCAGCCAAAAAACCCCGAATACAATCCTGGGTTGCCTAAACATAGGCATAGAATCAAGATCACACGAAATATTAGTACCACTTTATAAAACCTTAGTAAGACCACACCTGGAATACTGCAACCAATTTTGGTCACTATACTACAAAAAAGATGTTGAGACTTTGGAAAAACTTCAGAGAAGAACAACTAAAATGATCAAAGGCCTGGAGACTAAAACATATGAAGAATGGCTGCAGGACTTGGGTTTGGCTAGTCTAAAGAAAAGAAGAAATGGGTGATATGATAGCAGTATTCCAGTATTTGAGGGGCTGCCACAAAGAAGAGGGGGTCAAACTATTCTCCAAAGCACCAGAGGGCAGGACAAGAAACAATGGTTGGAAACTGACCAAAGAGAGAAGAAACCTGGAATTAAGGAGAAACTTCCTAACAGTGAGGACAATTAACCAGTGGAACAGCTTGCCTTCAGAAATTGTGGGCGCCCTATCACTGGAGGTTTTTAAGAAGAGACTAGACAGCCACTTGTCTGAAATAATGTAGGTTCTCCTGCTTGAGCAGGGGGCTGGACTAGAAGAACTCCAAGGTCCCTTCCAGCTCTATTCTATTCCATGAGGAGGAAAAATTGATAAATTTATAGTGGCTCTTCTCACAATATATTTCACCCATGCAGCCAGATCTTGTTATTAGACTGCATATAGGTAATTTTCCTACTAGTGATTTATAGAGTCTTTGTAGGATTACCCATCCATCACTGAAATGAATTATTTGAAATAGCACAAAGCTTTTCTGCATTACTGTTATTTTAACAGATATCTAACCAACTGGTTAGATAATTCTAGAAGATAGTATAAGTTACTAGTGAAAATGACCACAGTCATTCTAACTGAATCAAACAAACTGTATGGATAATATAAATGCCTGTATACTTCTCTAAGCTTCAGGACATCATTTATATGCTCCACAAAGACCTGGCAGCATAGAGCATTTCTCTCAAGCACTGAGTGCTAGGAGGGATCATGCCATGGCTATGGTATTGCTGTCTGCCTGACCAATGGGAAACTACTAGTGATGTCATGAATCCTTGCTAAGTATTCTGGTATAAGGGCTCATGGCACTTCTAGGAGAAAGTGGGTGGGTATCTTGTTCTCAAAATAGTGATTTAACTCAGGCTACATGGTAGTGCATTGCCAAGAATACTGGTGAAAAAATCTGAAACGATTAAGGATATTTTGAATACCTAGCCATAGATTCCTTCTTTTTAAAGATAATTTTTTGGGTAAAACAGGCAATACTTCATCATAGTTTTAAGTAAAACAAGGCTTAGATCTAAGAGCAGCATACCATTATAGTAGCAATGGAGGAGAGAGAAGAGAAAATTCTCTCTTACAAACTTCTATTTGTAACATATGGGATTTAAATGTTTTAAATAAGTTTCTAGGGAATTAATATTTAGCCATTTCTTCTATATACATAAACAGTATATGTAAGTTTTATGCAAATATATCCCTCTTAACAGTCAATATAGTGTAAAAGACATGATAGAGGACTAGAAGAGGAAAGCCAGATTTTAATCCTCCATTAGGTATGGAAGCCAGCTGAGTGACCTTGGACCAGTCACTTACTTTTTGTCCAAAATAGTGTGAGGCTTTGCAAAAAAGCCATTTGATAAATAAAACCCTTTGTCACATCAATGCATTAATAGTTTCACTGTATGAACTAGGCAAGTGCAAGTGCATCTTGCAACTAAGCAGGACAAATATTAAGAGCAATAATAGTATATGTCCACTAACTCTTTTCTCTTTTTTAATAAGGCCTGTAAGCCAGGGGTCCTCAACCTGTGGGCCATAGCCCACTATCGGTTCATGGCCAATTTGCAACCGGGCCATCTGAGTGGCTGGCTGGTGCGTGTGTGTGCGTGCACAGCCCCATTCATGTGAACATTGCAGGCACTCACAGTCTCACTCATGTGAGTGTTGTGGGCACTTGTGGCCCCACTCGCATGAGCACTCAGGCCTCACATGAGCATTGGGGCCTCATTTGCACAAGCATCACAGGTGCTCTTGGCCTCACTTGTGCAAACAATGGGTGCTTTGTGTGTGTATTTGTGCACCTGCCCTTCCCACAAAACCTTTCCCTCTTTCCCCCCTCTAGACCACCAAACTGGAAAGGTTGGGGAACTCTGCTGTAGGCAATCTTTTCTCTATATACCTATATACTTGTGGCACCCCAATTTCTGTTACATCCTTTTCTTCGGACATATTCTGAGGGTAGGTAGAAGATGCCTTATTAGCTATTCTTTAGCACGACTTCATGATACAGCCTTCTTTTCATCCCAGCACATAGCTATTGTCATATAACTTTGTATTTCTCTGATCCAGCATGAATGTGATGTCTTCCCATCTTATTTGGACATAAACCTTTTTTAAATGCATGACTTGTGGTGCTTTGCAGTGACAACAAAGTAGGGATCTGTCCTACTTTTCCTGAGTTCTTTTGACCCCTTCCCTTCTGGTCACCAGCTTCCCCCCCCCAGTTTGGGCCACAGAAATTATTGTCTGTTTATGTAATACCTGACTCATACTTTGTGAAGCAGGCATTATGGGGGCACTGCATGGGTGTGGTGGTCTTACAAGAAACTGCTACACATATCTAAAAACTGCCCTGCCTGATAGGCAGTTTGTGTGGCATAGCTGAAATGGAATACTAATTTGTCAGCAGTCTCCTTGAGCTATTTTTAAGTAAAGCAAGAGAGATAGTGAATAAAAGTGAGTGAGGGATTGAAATGACATGAGAGAGAGTTACAGAAAAAAGTCATGGAGCAAGAGAAGGACAGAGGATCAAGAAAGTGTAAGAGAGGAAAAGCACGGGGAGCACAAGGGAGAAAGATGAAAGTGAAAAAAGAAGACAGAAAAAGAAACAAAAAGAAACAACTGAGAGAAAATCATCTGAGTGCTAGAAGCTGCAATTCCTGGTCTGCAAGGTGTATGGAAGCTTCCTTGTAAAGCAGAAGATGCAGAAGATCACCCTCCTGCTCTACCTATCAGGTTCTGAAAAATGGCCAAACTCCAGGGTCTACTCATCTGTCAAACTTTGAACTCCTTCAACTTTAGGTGAAATTAGAGCAATTGCAGCTTGTTTTACTTGCCAGGCAGGTAGGAGTGGGGAAACAACCACCACCAATCACTGCTGACCCACAGTCAGTTCTCAGGAAACTACTGATTTTTCCTGCCTATTTAACTTATATGCAGAGCACATCATGAGAAAGGCAGGGCTAGATGAATCAAATGTTGGAATTAAGATTGCCGGGAGAAATATCAACAACCTAAGATATGCAGATGATACCACTCTAATGGCAGAAAGTGAAGAGGAACTAAAGAGCCTCTTGATGCAGGTGAAGAAGGAGAGTGCAAAAGTTGGCTTGAAACTCAACATTAAGAAAACCAAAATCATGGCATCCGGCCCTCTCAATTCCTGGCAAATAGATGGGGAAGAAATGGAGGTAGTGACAGATTTTATTTTCCTGGGCTCCAAGATCACCTCAGATGGGGACTGCAGCCAAGAAATTAAAAGACGCTTGCTCCTGGGGAGGAAAGTTTTGGCAAATCTAGACAGCATACTAAAAAGCAGAGACATCACCCTGCCAACAAATGTGCGTATAGTCAAGACCATGGTTTTCCCAGTTGCAATGTATGGATGTGAAAGTTGGACCATAAGAAAGGCTGAGCGACAAAGAATTGAAGCCTTTTAACTATGGTGCTGGAGAAGACTCCTGTGAGTCCCTTGGACTGCAAGGCGTTCAAACCAGTCAGTCCTAGAAGAGATCAACCCTGACTGCTCTTTAGAAGACCAGATCCTGAAGTTGAAACTCAAATACTTTGGCCACCTAATGAGAAGGAAGGACTCACTGGAGAAGGGCCTAATGCTGGGAAAGATTGAGGGCAATAGAAGAACGGGACGACAGAGAATGAGGTGGCTGGATGGAGTCACTGAAACAGTAGGCGTGAACTTAAATGGACTCCAGAAGATGGTAGAGGACAAGAAGACCTGGAGGAACATTGTCCATTGGGTTGCGATGGGTCGGACATGACTTCGCAATTAACAACAACAACAACAAAGGAAGGCTGTGGGGACAGACCAAATTTATGCTGGCACACATTGTGCTACTTTACAGATGGCCTTAAATCTTTTTTTCAGCTATTCCTCTTTTCTTTGGAGAGCAAGGTATCCAGGAAACAAACTGAGTTTATGCACAAGTTTTGTTCTAAAAGAAAAAAAACCCCTTTCATTTAGATTTTAATGGGCAGATGTATGAATTAACTAACAAGATTGCTGCCTCGCATATAAATTTAGTTTTGAAATTGTATTGGTTCCAGGTGACCCATTAACCTTCATTGTTAAGTAGAGGTTTCAGTTGGCTCTTCCTGATCTGAGTTCATTGTTTTTATTATTACACCTGACTTGGTATCACATAGTAATTAAAAACCTTGAAGATTGTTAGGCTGCAATATCTTTCTGTTTCAATGTGGGTGAGATGTGTTAGAGATTAAGGTTACTATGGAAGTTTTTGGAAATTCCGTTCTTCTTTCTTTTTGGTAGGGCTGAAAATTCAGAACTGGAATTTCTAAAAAGAATGGATGAAATAATCTTGCTTACTGGCATGAGCAAGAAAAGGATGGAGACCCTTGTCTCCCAGGACTGTGAATGCAAAGAGATTGTGGAGTCTGTCACTGTGCCTTTATCTCAGCACTACTTGGCTCTAGGGGATTATGGTCGGGCTTTTTATTACCTGTTGGAATCTGCATCTGCTTATGTCAACCTCTCCCACAACTACATGGTAAGTAGGATCACCCATTTTTTTCTCTCCCAACCAGCTCCTTCATTACTCCTACAGCAAAGGATATTTTACATTCAGGCATCTTAAAGATGTCTGCATTTTTGTGAAAGCATGTCTAGATGCATTTATCCAGTGAAAGAGTGGAAGCCTCAAATTTCCTCTCTGTGACTTCACCCCCTCGTCCCCAGGTCCCAGTTCTTGTATTGGGGCAACAGCTTGATTGTACCTAATGTCCACATCTGTCTTCCAGATGACACTCACCTGGGATCCACTCTCTAACTTCAGTGTGTTGGAGAAATGTGGCTTTCACAACTTATGCTGTCCTTCCAGTGATAAAAAGGCCAAAGAGCAGAAAGTGAAACAGTATTGATAGTGATACCTCCTAGCCATTTTCTGTAACACTACTTCCTACAGTAGCATACTGGAGCAGGTGGCTAGAGGATTTAGCCCTTGCTCTTTTGGCAGGAGACTAATTTTGCAACAGAGAAGCAAAATCACTTAATTAAAAAGAAAGATAAACATCCTATTGTGTACTTGAGTGTATGCCTTCCAGTCAGTCTTGATTCCTGGCAATTGCCTGGATTAGTCCGAGCAGTTTTTTTGCAATGATTTTCAGATGCAATTCTTCATTGCTTCCTTCCTAGGGCTGGGAGAGATGACTGAGCAAAGATCACCCAACTTGTGCCTAAGATGAGGCCTGATGTCTTAAATCACTACACCCAGTTGGCTCTCTATAAATATAAATAACCTGTCTAGAGATTAAAATAACCTTTTTCATGTAGCTGAAAAGCGGTTATAGATCACTGTTCAAAACTGAAGATCAGTTTAATAGAAAAATTACAAGAGAAAATGAAATGCTCCAAATTCATTCTCCTTGCCAGAAACTTTGTAAAAAAAAAGATTGGAAAGGAGAATGTTCAAAAAATTGTAGCAGACTGCAAGAGTATGAGTTGATCTAGTATGCTGATAGCTGGTGAATGATACATTTTATTATATGTCATAATGCTTAATTATAGTGCTGGGGGGAAACATACCATTTTGAAATCAGCATATTTTAGTTCATCACCTTTATATTTAAAGTAAGCTTGTTCTATCTTTTCTGTGGGTATAGCTAACCAAAATACTGTTAAACCTGGAAGTTGTGTCTTGCCAAAAAAACAAAGACCCCTCTATAAAAAACTGGTTTACTAGATTATCTTTTTCTTTTAAAGTTCAATATGGTGAATAGATGCTACATCTGAACCCTGAATTCATCCCCTCTATGGTATATGAATATTTGTTCTTGAGAATTTATTACCTATGGTGAGGAAATTGGTGAAACATCATGCAGAAATGAATCCTTTCTGTTCTGTCATTCTTATTTGAGGCATTTACATATCTGAATACAGCAGAGAGCCTCTTGAGATCTTCAGAATACAAGCATAAACTCATTAACCAATTTGAGGTGTCCATTTTGTACAGCCTGAAGGGAGAGGTAAGACAATTGTGTCTGGCTGTAGCCATTTGAATACTTACCACTTCTCTGAATACAGTAAAACCCACTAGAATATCTATTCTCTACAGCTGCTCTGTCAGAAGTACAGTGTTGCTTCAGTTATCATTTTATGATATAGTCTCTCTTCATGCCGCAGTGCTTGACCTATTATAACAGAAATTCTTCCATTGCCACTTTTAATGATCAGTAAGTCTCTCCCTACATTTAGATTCATTAGAGAAATGGCCTTAAAGCTTTTCACAATTAGTTTGTTGATTTGTCAGGTATGACACATCTCTTGATCTTGCTGGATTTTTACAAGGCTTCCTGATATAATTATGCCATATCCTTTAGCTACCTTCCTGTCCTCCCTCCCCCATCTCTGGGGCACCTGTGAAAACAGAGGAGATGGATAAGAACAGGTAGAAGACCTTACAAAGTGCTGTGTCTTCTGCTGCTATATTATATAAGGATACAAAAATAATTTCATAAATGTACTTAGTACAGAAAAAGCCTCATTATTTTTTCATAGCTGATTTAAATACTGTATATATTCTGTTGCTTTAAGTATACCGCCTAGATGGTTCCGTCCCAGGCGCCTGATGGACCCGGAGAGGTTTCTGACGGAGCTTGGGCCATACCCGGAGGATCTAGGTCACGACTTGGCGGAAGATCAGGCTGCGGCCTGGGATGTGGCCGCAGCCGCAGCACTGGACCGAGTCGTGCCGTTGCGGCCTCTGACCCGACGTAGATCTCAATTGGCACCTTGGTTTACCGAGGAGCTGAGAGAGATGAAACGCCGGAAAAGACGCCTAGAGAGCAGTTGGAGGACTACCCGAACCGAACCCGACCGAACACAGGTA